CATTCATGAAAATCGTATTAAGAAAGAATTGAATGGAAAAATGTAAGCTTAGCTGAAATCCCATCAAAAATTCGGCACCAGATTTATGCATACAAGAACTTTCTGCATGCGTGGGTGAGTAATAAAATTATTTTAGAAAGCTGTATAAGTTTGATAAAAAAAACTGTGCGCCGAAACATTCAAACGACAATTTGGCTACCCTTGATAAACCGCACCAACTGGAAAAAATCTCAATGTGGTACAGGTAGGGTACGTTTCGACTGTTCTTGACTTGCGTTCCTGACTTGGATTAACACTTTCTTGCAGCTAAGATAAGATAAGCTGTGGACTGAAGAGACGTCAAAAGGTGACACTGACAACTGACATTCTATAAACTCCGCAGCAACTGCTGGTATGAGAAAACGTGCCATTTAGCGAAATTCTATTCGAAACTAAGGCAGCAGTGAAGCGGTTTATATACCGGGGCTGATTTCTGCATAGACGAATGTGAAAATTTAGTAACGTACGTTCTGAGTATATACACTTACAGGGCAATTTTGGCAACTGTCTTGCAACTCACCACAATCTTTGGAAAGACAAAAGTCTTTCGTAAGACAATTTTCAATCCTGGCAACTATCTTGAAATATTGGTATTAAGAACAAATATATATTTTCCTTTTTAAAGCAATAAAAATTAAATATTAAAAGAAAATTAAATTCAAAAAATTAAAATATGTGCAGCAAAAATAAACGCAAACATTTAAAAAAAGTAAAATAAATTAAAAAATATTTTTTTGGAACAAATAAAATCTAAAAATTAAATTTAAAAACAAGTAATTTTTTCCGGGTGAAGCAGGGAAGCTCTGATATTAGGTGCGTTCGACAAGTCAAAAATTTGTAATAGTTTTTCCAAATTTTTACTGGATGGCGTTCGATAACGACAAAAAATTATCCAACACACAAAAATTGAGAGAGAAAGCGTTCATTTTGATGCAAGAGAAGCGTTCATTTTGTACTGGCAAAATTCTAGTCAGCAAAAATTATCCAACACGAAAACATATGATCACAAAACATATGGTTGCAATTTTTGTAAACAAACAAAATTACATTTTCCGAGTTTTGGTATTTATATGCTTTTTGGCTGCCTGCTATGTGACTTTATGATAGCGCCAACTAGTTTTTACTTCTAGAAATGTTCCTGGCGAACATTGAACGTTCACTTTCATTTTTTCTTCTATGGAGGCAACATGAATTTCAGTTTGTTTACAAATAAAACATAAATAAAGTCAGCTGGTGTGTCTTCTTCTTCCGATTTTTGCAAGTAATGGCTAATTTCCTGTTCGTTTACTTTTTTGCTTTTTCATCTCTTTGGGAGAGAATTTTCGCTTACTCTCTTGATTTTGATTGTTGGCTGGTGTTGTCTAATTTTGTTATCGAACGCAACTATTTGCACTTCCACTATCTCCCACAAACTATAGAAAAATCGTGTTCCTAAATGCATGAGACGCATTGTCTGGAGTGCTAGGCATTGACATATGTAGGAAGTTGTTTATCGATTGCTCTTCTTCCTCGTCCCCACAAATTCTTCAGAGGAAGCTTGTTGGTATACACCATCGATGAAGCATTGATGCCATAACACAGTGCTCTGTAATCACCCCGGTAAGAGCACTTACTGCAGATTTGTTTAGAGTCAATAATTCTTCAGCACGGCTCTTATTTTGTCTTGGCTGGAAGGATCTTGAGATAATACAGTCCCGATTCGCATTCGAGATGATAAAGGTGTGAAACTAATGAAAAATTTGTTTCTTTATGTGCAGCTGAAGCCTTGATGAGATGAGAATATTCGTTATCCAATTCGATGAGTAAAATTCCGCCTTCCGTAAAGAGTTTCATTGGACCTTAACCCATACGGCGGCAAAGTCATTTCAAACGCTATTTCGTATTTATAAATAACGGCACTCTCCGCAAAAGCATCCCACTCACAAACTTCGTCCTTCCTAACTCCGTGCTATCACTGAAGAAATCTGGATTTTTAGTTCTCTCAAGCTTTAAAAGGTTATTTTAAAAATTTTCTATTTTCTTTATCTGTGCACATACATCTTTCTAACACAACTTTCACTCTATTTTTACCCCACAGACGTTGAATTCACTTTTTCCCCACATACTTGGCTGCTACGCTTGTATGCGTTGCGAAAAGTTTTTGAAATATCCTTTCAAATACGCTGCCATTGGCAGACATGTTCAACTATCATGTGTCTAGTCGGAGCATGTACATATGTACATATGTGTATATGTCAGTGGAAACCCTGCAGGAAAAGCTACTAGTTGCGAACTAGAATTCTACCAGTTTGCTTAGTTCACGTTCTATCCTTTTCCAATGTTAGCGACTGCTATTTTTAACATTGCGATGTCCTACGAGATGTCCATTGTCAGGCTATGCATCAGCATCTACTAGTAGAAATACTAGTAGCATCATACCAGTTGATGAGATGGTCTGCCAATTCATCCCCAGTTAAAAGCATAAGTATGCCTTTGTGCTCTCGGCACTCCAACAGTGGCAATAGCCACCAGAGCAAAGCACTCGCGTGGTATGCCTGAGGTCCCACGTTCAAGTCCTGGTGCAGGCATTTTTTTTTTTTGTATATTAATTAATTTATTTTTTTTAATTACTTTTTTTTAGAATTTCTAATTTATTAAAAAAATGATTTTAATTTTTATTTCTTTTTTTTTATGGCACAAGAATTTCTTCCAATATGTATAACTATGTTTTTTACTGCAAGGCAATTAGATTTTCAAATTATGTTGTCATGGCAACAGTAGCATTTTATAAAAATCACCAATATTTTTACCAGATTCGCAGCAGTTTAGAAAATTGAAAGTTGGTATAGATATTACAAATATCAAAAGGAAAAAACTGAGGGGGTGCCCCTTTTCTAGGATGAAATTTTTCCCCCCTTAAAAAAATTAGACCACTCTAATGTATACATGTATGTATATATGTAGCTGCACGAGTGTGTTTGCATGTTACCATTTGTGTTTTGCCGTTGTTCTTCTAAATGGATTGAAATTGTATTGATATTTGAGCTGCTCATTGCTGTTCACGGCACGCCGTTAGCAGTATTTGCATCCTTGCAGCATCACATAACGCACACACACACGCACCACACATGCTGTTGCTTTTGTAGAAAAAGTGTGTCGCACACATGAATCTTGTTTTTCTACCGCCTCCCACATACAGCGTTGCATGCAACAATGTTTGCGCATCCTTCCTTCGCTTTGATCCTGCGAGTTTTCTAGTTTCTCGCTGTATTTGGTTTAAGTATAAATATTGCTATGAGGGATTTGCTAACGCTCACTGGATGGCTGTGTCTGTGGCTGTGAGGTTTTGTTTGAATTTCTATTTGGTTGGGGTTATTTGCTCTTTACTGCACTGCTTGGTGTCATGAACTGCATTTCCATTTGCTGTTGCAATACAATCAATCGTTCCGCTGCGCTGCGGTTAAGCAAGTTCTCTGTGCCAGAATTGCTTTGGTGTAGCTTAGCTGGCGCTTTTTTCCACTAGCAGTATGATGTTCTTTGTAAGAATTCTTCCAGGGGGATTTGTGTACTTAAGTAATGGTTTGGTGTTGAGTGTCACTTTGTGTAAAAGAAAAGTCTTCGTTTCGAAATATATTGCGGGTACTTTAAATATATTTGATGCATATGTATGTATGTGCCTTTTAGCAGCAAATGTTCGTTAGTTATTTAATATTTAATGTAAACATAAAATGGAATCGACCACATAAACTGTAAAAATTTCTTGCAGTTTATTCGTGTTCCCATTGAATACTGGTGTGAACACGAATGGGAATGAGGTTCGTTTTAGAATCGGCTAATGTATATAACACTGCTATCGGTTAATATTTCGATAAATATATCGATTTGTAATGAGAAAAGTTATTTGTAAATATGCATAAGGGTGAATTTAGGAATATAAATTACAACAGCAATATCGATAAATATTTTATTAATATTAGCAATAAACAAGTATATCGATTGAAAATATCGGTAGCACTGCTTTTTAATTATGTAACGTAAAATCTTTAGAAGCGAGTGTATATCGATTTTGATGCCGATAGTATATCGATAAATATAAATATATTTATGAATTATTGTTGAAATGTACCGATAAGAGTGGCGGTACACACATAATGCGGACTATATATATACATATTTATATTTGTACAAACAAATATTTATTAAAAAATATATTTACTTATGCATGCTTATCGATAGACGCACTAATTTTTCAAAATACAGACAAAAGGATCGGCTAAATTATCAATAAAATAACAAAATAAATCTTCGATAAATATGCTGTTTGAAATCGTTTAATTTGTATAACGAAAGCATTTTTTACAACCATATTGATAAATAGGTATATTGCAAAATGTCAATAGCTATCTTTTTTATCCGAAATATAACGATTGTCGATGACGTTTTCTTAAAACCATCAATAAAACCATTTATCGATTAAATTCTTTATACAACATCGAAACTATTTACTTTTTTAATGAGAAAGTAAATGAAGATATCGATTAATATTTTTAAATAAATCAATAAAATATGGCTGAAAATATATGCGAGTAATGAATTAAATACGCACATATGTATTAATCGATAAACATGTTGATATCGTCGAATATGCCGCCAAATATATCGATAATAATGTTGATTGAGATTTCGGAAACATTCAATCAATAGATTAGATTTATCGTTAATCATCCATGCATATCGATAAATGACTCTAAATATTTCGATAAATGGACCGATAAAAATATTGTTAGGTGGTTGTCAATAATGCGCACAACTAAGTGACTCTTAAGATCCCTATAAAGTCTTTGCGTATCTACTTCTTGCTCAATAAGTAAAAAAATAAGTACTGTATATAGTTGTTTTTAATAATCTTTTACCTTCTCTAATAAATTTGAAATTACCTTAACATTTTGACAATATTTTTTCTTTCCTTCTTCTATTTTCAGACAAAGGCGTACTCATGGCACCATCGCCACCCAAAGATGCACCCGGCGAAATGGGTAAACCGGTAGTATTACCCACCAATATGACAGAAGAAATGAAGAAAGCTGTCGATGATGGTTGGGCGAAAAATGCCTTCAATCAATATGTATCCGATATGATATCGGTGCATCGAACATTGCCAGATACGCGCGATGCGTGGTAAGTGAAAACGAAAAAAATTTTTATTTTCAATTGCCATTAAAATTACATACCATTACCGACCATTATCTAATCCTTATTCATATTATTACCGTGGCGGTTATCATTACCCTTAACATTACCAAGTATTACCAATACCATTATCATTACTATTGTAAGTACCATTACTAATAAAAAATACCTTACCATTATTGTTACCGTTTCCGTTACAATTACCTACAACTACTTGAGGACCATTACCAATGCCATTATCCTCGCTATTACCATTACTCCTACTGTCACCATTTCCGCTACCATCACTACTACCACTGCCATTACAATTGCAATTACCATTACTATTACCACTACCATTAACACTGCATTAGTATTTCCATTTTCATTGCCAGTATTATTTACATTCCAACTAACATTACCATTACCATTACAATTACCATTACTATTACAATTACCACTACCCTAAGCATTGCCATTTTCATTGTCAATAACATTACTATTACAATTAGAATTACCATTACCATTGCCATCAAGTTGAAGTCAATCACAAAGATACAAAAATTTTTTCAGTACCTCAAAACTAATTCGCATCACTGTTACGTGCCTTCGAACACTTGTTCGTGCACGCGATCCTGCCCCTGCCAGCTGCCAAATTCCTGCTTGTTCAACCACACCACATACTAAAAAAAAAAAAAACTTAAATAAATAAAAATAAACAACAACGACTTATTTAATACATATACTTAATATCTACATAATCTATTTTTATCATTGCACAGGTGCAAGGAACCCGGCCGCTATCTAAAAAATCTTCCCGCCACCGATGTCATCATTTGCTTCCACAATGAGGCGTGGTCGGTGCTGTTGCGAACAGTGCACTCGGTGTTGGATCGTTCGCCGCCAGAGTTAATTAACAAAGTCATACTGGTCGACGACTTCTCCGATATGCGTAAGTTGCGTGCGAACAATTGGCAAATGCATGCATTTCTGTTCGCGTTGGTATGCTGCCGCGCATGCGCGTGTATGCTTTGCATTTTAATGCAGCGTTTGTATGCGCGCTGGCTACCAAGCAATTTCCAACATAATTATAAGTTTTTCTTCCATTTATGTCATTTTTCTTTTCCGTTTTACATTTTTGCCGCTCTTTAATGTTTCATCATATCCATTGCAGCACATACCAAACAACAGCTGGACGATTATTTTGCCGCCTATCCAAAGGTGCAGATTTTGCGCGCCCCCAAACGTGAAGGTCTGATACGAGCGCGTCTATTGGGCGCACGTCATGCCACAGCGCCGGTGTTGACGTACCTGGATTCGCACTGCGAGTGCACCGAAGGTGAGTGGGAGTGTGAGTGATTGGTGTGTGTGGGGGTGGACGAGTTTTACACAAGCATACATACATATACATACATGCATGCTTAAAGAAGTGTAACAATTTTGAAAAATATTCGCTTTAATTTAAACCGCCACAAAAATGCTATTTGCATTTCATGCATTTGCCACTTTGCTTCATTTAATGGTATTTTTCATAAGCAAAATTCAACTAAACATTTAAATTTCAAATCTAAATTCATTTATTTGATTTTAATCACTTTTTTCTAACCGCAAATCTGCAAACCATCGCGCCCCATTTGAGACCGCAACACTAAATGCCATAGCAGACTACCGGCAATATTGTTACCCAGCGCCAATCAGCAATAAAGTTTGGGTTAACCAATTCAATTTGTGCATTGAATTTTTTTTAAGTTTTTTTTTTTAAATTTCACGCCACAAGCACACTTCAAAAAGATTTGCAATATCTCTAATTAGAATTGCCATTTAAAAAAGAACTTCGTACTTAATTGAAACGCAATGATTTGCTTCAAAATTTGTGAGTCATTTATGTGTGGCGCGATTATCAACTCACCCATGAAATCGTCCACGAATAATACGCTAACGTGCAGCTGAATTGTATTTAAAATTCATTTCGATTTAAATTTAGTGGGAATAGAATCATAAAGCGAGTAAGCTCTGGAGCAGCCGATTGAAGCAGTTATTAGCTTGGTCTACAAGTATACCCGAGAGCAGGGCCGAGCGCAGGATTTCTCTTTGGGGGGTTTTATGTAAAGTCATTCGTAACAACCAAGAATATCAGTGTTTTATTTAGAGTATTCAGCATATTGTATTTGTAATTGTGGATTTAATTTAGCATAACTCAAAGAAAAGTCATATGCAATTCACTGAGGTATAGATACAAATTCTTTCAATAATGAGTCAACATTGCTAGCCTAGCACAATAGGGTGGTCCAAAATAAGTAAAGTCGGAATTTTTATGCTCTCACCCACTAGGATTGCTCTATATCGAAAAAAGTATACGTCTATATTTTTATTTTGAAATAAAAAACATTTAAAGGTCGCTTCAAATTTTCCATATATATTATATGGGTAAAATGCCACTTTTCGTGAAAATTGTATGGAATTCTTGAAAATCAATATTTTTCGATCGGAAAACTGTGGTTCTCTTCAGAATACTTCCAATAACAATATCCAATTGTTAATTATTACCTCCCTTTTATTAGCTCGGGATGTAACTATGTAATATTGATGCGTCTAAAAGATACAGTGATTTCTAGTCCCAAGTTACATACCTGGTGACAGTACGAATGGAAATTATAATACCGAGGTTTTAGTTTTTTAAACTATAATTTTTTTTAACCATTTTTCAATGCTAAAGATTTGTTATATATCCCCCCATTGCTTTTTCTGGCATTTTCTATAGTTACTATGAAAAAATGGTTAAAAAAATAACTGCGTATCTCTTGAAGAGGAACAGGGTCTTGCGGTCGAAAAATATTGGTTCTCAAGAATTCTATACCATTTCTACGAACATTTAATGGAGGGTATAGAGGGAGATAGAGGGTATTGAATATAAGCCCTCGAAAAGGTGATAGGACCTTTCTGGCTTAAGCTAAAGCTAGAACTTTCGAATACTATCTCTGAAAATAGATCTTAGATATACATTTGAGATTTTGAAATATTTTTTATCATTATTATCTTAAACTTATGGCACATTTTTATACCCGAGCGCACTTGTGCACAAGGGTATATTAATTTTGTTCACATAACGGTTGTTTGTAACAGCCAAAACGAATCGAGATAGATATAGACAAATGTATACATAAATGCTCAAAATGAATAGAGAAATCGATTAAGCCATGTCTGTCTGTCCGTCCATCTGTCCGTCTGTCCGTCCGTCCGTGTACACGATAACTCGAGAAAACATTTAGATATCTCAACGAAATTTGGTATGTAGGTTTCCATTTATCTAAGGTAGGTTGGTATTGAAAATGGGCGAAATCGGACTGCAACCACGCCCACTTCCCATATAACGGAAATTTCCAGAAATACGAAAACTGCGATATTTTAGTAACTACTGAAGATAATTCACTCAAAACTGATATTTACAATAATTTTCATACGAAAAATAAGAATATTATAAATTTTTGTGAAATGGGCGTAGCCACGCCCACTTATGGTTACATGTGTATATCTTGGTAACCGCTGCAGCAATTTCTTCCAAACTTGGCACAGTTGTTGGCCTTAGTACAGCATACTAAATGGCCGAAAATTTAAAAAATGAGACAATAACCGCGCCCACATCCAATATAACGGTAATTTAGAGAAATACAAAATCTTCGATAAATCTGTAAATATTAAAGCTAATTTATTCAAAATTGACGCTTACAACAATTCTTTACCAAGAAATACGTTTGTGGTAAAATTTTGGAAAATGGGCGTGGCACCGCCCACTTATGATCACATATATGTATCTCGGTAACCGTTCTACCAATTTGTACCAAGCTCGGCATTTTCATTGTGCTTGCCACATAAAAGCAAACCGTTGAAAATTATTGAAATCGGACTAAAATTACGGCCGCTTTTCATATAACGGCAAATTTCAGAAATGCTTGAAACTTCAAAATTTCGAAATTTAAGGACTCTAATTGACTCAAAATTGATACGCCCCAGCTTACCATGTAGCTGTAGGTTTCGGAAAGGTCAAAAACATATATTTAATACTTGCGCCGGGTATTTAATGTTCGGCTCCGCCCGAACTTAGACTTTCTTACTTGTTATATATATTTCCTTCCAACAGGGGGAGTTTAAACCCCCAACCTTCCAACTCCCCAATCCCCCCCTCCTGCGACCGGGCCTGCACGAGAGGATCACTAAATATAAGGTGTCTGATATGGCTGAGCGAAAGTGAAAAAGTGACATATTGCAATAGAAAAAAATGTTCAAAAAAAATAATTGATTTTTTTGGAAGAACAGTAATCCATTTTCTTTAAAAAAATCATAAAAACAAAACAAATATCTGGTTCTTAGTCGATTTTTTCCAAAACATTGTCTATCGATAATTTAAATATTGGAACCATTTTTTGTCAGAAATACCACCGAATTTTTGTTTGAGGTATAATCGATTTTGGGAAAAATACAAAATTTTTTGTAAGGAAAAAAATCGATTTATTGAAAGAAAACTAATCGATTTTTCAAAAGAAAGTAAAGGATAATTTTATCCGTATCGATTGCATTGAAAAAATTTTCTGTAAAATAAAAATAATCGATATTTTTGTAAAAATATAATGGATTAAAAAAGTAGTTCATTCTTAGTAGGTTAGAATGCACGACAAAAATCAGTTGTTCATGAAAATCTTGGATTTTAATAGATATTTTCCACAATAATTGGTGACTACTTAGGAAGCTAGACTAAAATCAATTCTTTGAGTCGTTTTGTAAGAATAATAACACTGGTCTACAAGGGTTTTGCGAATAAGACGGGACCTGGTGTTTCCGAACGGATTTTTCGTGCTGAACACGAATCTGGGGTCCAAAACTTCCCATCACGTCACGTTTTCGAGAAAAAAGGGGTTGAAACCCCTAAAAACAGCGTTTTTGGCCATTGTAGAGCTGAACCCTGACGTGCTACAAACTTTGTATATGTCAGAAATTAAAGGCTAAATCGTGCCCTTTCGAATGAGCCCTATGCCGAATTAATCGCATGCACCCTTAGATCAGGGGGTGTATTTGTGTCTAGGAGTCCAGGGAAAATTGATCGCAGAAAGAATTTCATCTTAAACGACCATATAAATTTCTTAAATTTTTAAAATCTAACTGCAGATTCGTAATCAGCGACTTTTAATATAGTTAAAACCTTGGCATTATTAATTTTCTATGATCGTTTAAGATTAAATTCTTTCTGTGATCAATTTTTCCTGCACCCCTAAACACAAATACACCCCCTGCTTTAAGGGTGCACGCGATCAATTCGGCATAGGGCTCATTCGAAAGGGCACGGTTTAGCCTTTAATTTCTGATATATGCAAAATTTGTACCACGTCAGGGTTCAGCTCTATAATTTTTCGAAAATGGCCAAAAACGCTGTTTTTAGGGGTTTCAACCCCTTTTTTCTCGAAAACGTGACGTGATGGGACATTTTTGACCCCGGATTCGTGTTCAGCACGAAAAATCCGTTCAGAAACACCAGGTCCCGTCTTATTCGCAGAAAAAAAGTTGAAATTTGTAGACCAGTGTAATCGACTCAAAAAATAGTCATTGATTAATAAAGAACACCAATTGGTAAGTAAAAAATCGACTCAGATTCTACGTTTATTTCTTTGTTGGAGAAATAATCGATTTTTCAAGAAAAAATCTTAATCTGAACCAATTTTTTTCCTGACCTATCGGACTTTTCTTTTTGAAGACCATATAAAAATCTATTCTAATAGTCGTTGTTTTGAACGAAAAATAATCGATTTAAATAGAGGTCATTGCTAAAAAATTTTAAGAAAAGTAATCGACTTTCAAAAAGCAATTCTGGTTCTAAATTGTATTTTCCCAAATAATCGGTAATTTCTACCAAATTAATCAATTGAAAAAAATAGTCGATGCTTAATAAAAACACTAAATTTTTTTCAAGCAAAATAATCGCTTTTCAAGGAAAGAAATCATCTTCTGAATCGATATTTTCCAACACAATCGTCTTCTTCTTCTTTATTGCCGCTGTAACCAGCTAAGCGAGTCCAAAATAGCACGCCAATCGTTTCTCTTCTGTGCCAGCTGACGCCAATTGTAAATTCCAAATGAAGCCAAGTTCTTCTCCACCTGGTCTTTCCTGCACTATGTCTATATCGTTGTAAACCTCATACAGCTGATCATTAAATCGTCTGCGGTATTCGAAAACTCCAAGAGCCGCTTTGAACATTCATCAGATGTTTTCATTGTCCATGCCTCCGCACCATACACCAGCACAGGCATGATGAGCGACTTATAGAGTGTGATTTTTGTACGACGAGAGCGAACTTTACTTCTCAATTGCCTACTCAGTCCAAAGTAGCACTTGTTGACAAAAGAGATTCTGCGTGGGATTTCCATGCTGGTAGTTTTATTGATGATAATGCTGGTTCCCAATTAAACGAAGTCGTCTACTTTTTCAAACTTGTAACTGTCAACAGTGACGTGGATACCAAGACGCGTATGCTCTGACTGTTTGTGTGATAACAGGACATACTTCGTTTTGTCCTCCACCACCCATTCGCTTTGCTTTTCTATCTAATCCTGAGAAGGTAGAAACAATCGGTCATCCGCTATTTTGTAGAAAGTATAATTTTGCACGCAAACTTTTTTTATATGAAGACTCTTTGGACAAAACGCGGATTTGTGCCCCATTCGATATTTTTTACAAAAAAATCGGTTATCGATTCCAGTGCTGTTCTCTATTTGTTCTTTCTACGCTCCTAGGGCGTTCTCTGATGGAGCTTATTCCAATTTCTAATAAGGGTTTGGGGTCTATTGGTATTGTTAGTAAGCATGTCAGGCTCTTCGTTGGTTTCTATGCCTCTATGGCCCAGAACCCCGGCACGAAAGATCCTATCGTTTGTCGCCAAGGCATTTAGTCTAGGAACTCAAGAACCATAACGATTTAAATTGATGGAGCTCCGCTTGGAATACTTGGGAGTTTACCCACAGGTACTAAGACCTTTGATCTGACCCTAAACATGCTGGCATCCAAATCTGGTATTTTTGTGGCGCCTGTATACGAAATTAGAGGGTTCAACGGGGAGTATTTGATGGTAATAGTGATTCAGCTTGCCTTGTTCCCTAGTTTAATTTTGTGGTTCTTATCAAAGTAAATAGTTCTGTTGATCTCATCCACGTGGTATCAGATCAGGAGTATCGTAGGCCATATTATGGTTTCTTTTCTACAACCTTTTCTGGTGAAGTTCGCTGTTGAAAATGCCCTTGGGTTGAGAACGACTAAAGGAAGAAAATAAACAGCTGCTCCAGGATACGATCTGGAACTGCCTTTAAGCAAGTTAACTGGTTTAAACACGTGTGGAGTACCGCGTTGCCTCTGTCTTTAAGTTGCCGAACGAAACTCAAACAAAAAATCTAGAAGAGAAAGCTGTTTGATCCAAAGTATCCAATCTAGTGCAGAGCCTCGTTAAATAAAAAAAGCTATAAATTATAGCGCATCTAAAGGTATCTTACGCAGAAAAAGCTTGCCAATAACAGTCAAGATATCCGGATTGCATTCGATTTCGAACGATTAAATAAACCATCAATCAACTTGTGCCATTTATTCGATTTTCAATAAAAATTTTCCATATAAGTATTTTTCCCATACTCAAGTTGCATATTGTATACCGAATTCTAAAAGTACTACATACATACATACGAGTACATTTATAAGTATGTGCGAAGTATGCTATAAACTTTTGATTATTTTGCTGAATTATCTTGCGAGACTTCAGCTTTGCTGTGATTTATGCATGGCAATAGAAACTTTGCTAAGTAAGCGAAAAAAATGTGAAATGTGATTGCAACGGAAAAATAAAATAAATTTCAATAACTTCCGTAGATAGACAGCATTGGAAAATTACGGAAGTAAAATTTTCAACCCACCTCATATGTAGAGCAAACCAATCTCTTCAAGGATTATGACTTAAAATGATAAACCTAAAATTCTTTTACCAGTTGGAGAGCGAAAAGGGGGGATAAAATTTCAATTTTTACTCTTCAATGATTGATGACCAGCAGCAGGAAGGAAACAAAAGTGTATGTGTGTATATGCGCATGCTTTATACAACCACAGCAGAGGCAGCTTAAAACTTGATAAGCTGCAGGATATCCCATCGTGTGTGGCAGCGTGTAATATGGAAGCGCGCGGTTGAGTAATTTATTGTGTAAGGACCCTACGCTGGTTGCTTTCTCCAGCGGTCACTTGCTGTGAAGCAGTGTTGATTTTGGTAAAGAAATTAATGTACCTAACGAGGTACAGATTTTGTACGCAAAACACTGGTTATGTACCTAAAATAAGGACTTATTTAGTTCAATTCGAAATAAGTTCAAATATCACAAAAATGTAGGAAATTCAGAATTTATTAAGGATATTCGCCTTACAAAAGGCTTAGTTGGAACTTTCGTTTTTATATGACTGTTACAGGGCCGCTCTGGCTAATTTTGCACGAAGGTCTTACAAAAAATGGTGCGTTGCTCTTAATATTTAGAATGTTTTTCAAGCTAAAATTTTTGTATTATTTTTTATAAAAATATAATTCATGCTTTAGTAAATGCCATATAAAACATACTTTCAAACTTTATACTTTTTACTTTATAAGTGTTGAGCGGCAAAAAATCGCATTGGTTTTTAATATTTTTTATATTTTAGTTGACGGCATTTTGCACTTTTTTCCATATAAACATGAATTTCTTGTGGAAGAGTATGCGCAAAACCGTTTGTGAAAAAAATTTAAAAACCAACGCCAGTGTTCCTAAATTTTCCTATTTATATTAAAAAAAAAATTAAAAAAGCCCTCAACAAAAAAACTATTAAAAATCAATGCGGTTTTTTAGCCTCTCAACTTGCAATTATTTCACAAAAATCCGAGGTTCGAATCCTCGGTCTGCGGAATTTTTTTCTCTTTCAATAAATTTTAATATTTTTTTTTTCTTTTAATGCTTAGATTTCATTCTGTTAGAAAATAGAATTAGTTTCTTTAAAAAAAATTCTTTTTAAAACAATAAAATCTAAAAATTAAATTTAACTTATTTGATGCATCTTTTTCTTTTTATAATAAATTTTTTTTCTTTTTAAATTAAATTTTTAGATTTTATTGTTTTAAAAAGAAACAAATTTTTTTAGAAATTAATTTATTTTTGCAATTTTATTTTCAGATTTTATTTTTTGGTAAAATTTTCCAATATGGCACCAGGCTTTAAACAAAAAAACCAAAAATGAGGAGGTGTCTGATTCTAAGGCTTATATTTTTTTTAGTTTCATTTAATTTTTACAACCTTTTTTTGTCTTTTTTATAAATTATGTTTTCTTTTTGAACATAATTTTAATTTAGATTTTAGATTTATTGTTTTAAAAATAAAACAATTTTCTAGAAACTGATTTTATTTATTGTTTTATTTTTTTTAGATTCTATTGTTTTAAAAAAAATTTATTTTTTAGTTTCACTTAATTTTTAGAAACTTGTTTTGCTTTAATTAAATTTTTTTCTTTTTAAACTCAATTTAATTTGTAGATTTTATTATTTTAAAAAGGTAACAATTTTTTAGAAACTTATTTTATTACTTTGTTTTTTTAGTTTCTTATTTAGTATTTAGATTTTATTGTTTTAAAAAGAAAAATATATTTTCTTAGTTTCCTTTAATCTTTAGAAAAGATTAGAGGAACATTTCGCTTTAAGCTTTTATTTCGGCAGGTTTAAGCTTAGAATCCAGCTCTCAAAAAAAATCACAAGAAATATATTTCATTATTTTTTGTTGCTTGAAAAAGCACTTTGCTTTTTCTGGGCATGAATCACGTATGACGACAATCGTCTGAACGATATCGTGTCGAGATTGTCTAGCTTCATAAAAATCAAAAATGGTTTGATCGTTTGTGCGGTATCGTCAACTCGATTCCAGTTTTGCTTCACGTAACAGTAACAGTAACACGTAACAGCAACACAAATGCATAAATCAGTGCTTTGACCACATCGATTTGTCAGTATCGTTTGAACGACTATCGTTTCAAAGTTACGTGATTCATGCCCTGTAAATTTTCTTGAAGAAATAAATATACGATCATTTTTTTTTCTTGAAAGATGCTAATTGATTTAAGAAATTTTAATAGAAAAAAAATTCTTTTTCATTTCTTGTGCGTCATGAGAGCTCAAAACAGCCCTTTAGCTAGTTTAGGTCGCAACGTTACTGTCGATGTGACTCAGTTAAATTTTGTTTTCTTTTTTCTTCTTTAAATTGCAGCTTTTACTAAGCATAAGTATTAATATACTACATAAATTACATTAATTTATTTTTCTTTTTGAAATCATACCTAATTTAAAGCGGTTGTACCTAATGTACCTTCTAACTGAAATATGGCCGAAGAACCTACAAAATCAACACTGCTGTGAAGTGAAAAGCATTTGATTTGTTTCCATTTTTCTTTTTCAAGCACATGTTAGTTGTTGGTTTTTCGGGTTAGCGGTTAGCTCTTTAGTCGTCAATAGCTTTGATGTTTTTTGGTTGAATATTGTTTGCTATTTTTTATTTATTTTTCATCTATGTATTTTTAACTTTTCTCCCACTGCTGAGTTATTGCATTTCCTATTTTGTGCTCATTCGCTTTGCTACTAAGTGAGTTTCTTTATGGCATTCCTCACTTCCCATCTTCTACTTAGTTTTCCCTCAAATTTTGTTAAATTTATTATATTACCTCTTATTTTATTTTGCGCACTACACTCTGCTTACGGTCATCTCTTTGGTTAACTCGCGCGGTTCAAAAGCCGCATAATGACGGTAGAGCATAAAGCTTTCGCAAAAAAAGGAAATGTTCATGCATTTCACCCTGTGTACCCAAAACAATTTCACATAAACAATATCAGTGAAACATAGTTGCAATAACAATAAATTTTCATTATTTTTTCTATGGAATTTTTTCTCCCAACCCCTCATTCGTACTGAAAGCTTTAAATATTTCTCGTAGTTATTTGTATTGGGGTTACGTGTATCAATACCTTTTATGTTACCAAGCACAAATTTTAATAAATCGAATACTTTGTTTCATTTGTTCATTTTTTGTACTTATTTTTATTTCAATTTCTACTTTCTCTCCTTCCACATAGGTTGGCTTGAACCCCTGCTCGATCGTATCGCTCGCAATAGCACCACCGTCGTTTGTCCGGTCATCGACGTTATTGATGATACAACATTGGAATTCCATTTCCACGATTCGGGCCTAGTGAATGTGGGTGGTTTTGATTGGAATTTGCAATTTAATTGGCATGGAGTGCCGGAACGTGAAAAAGGTCGACGAGAGGTGAGTGGTAAATGAATGATTACGTTTAAAAATAGGATGATTGCATATACAAAAAAAGTATATACTTGAAAAGTAAGAAACACAAGTAAGAACATTGCAGTAGCTTATACTACGAACATGAAATTTTGTGTATGATACCAGTAGTGGGATTCGGAAAATCAATACCGCCAGTTTTTATCGCCCAAAATCTAAAAAAAAATAGCAGGCGCGCCTAACAACATCCCACACCTAGTTACATCCCAGATTTGGTTGATTACACACTGTATCTGTTAGTTCATAACTGCGTAATCTTTCTGGTCGCATTTTTTACCCTTTCTTGAAAGATATAAGCCAAAATGAAATTTTGGGAAAAAGTTTTAGACCAGTTTTAGGCTCAGTGCCTATTCTCTCAGTGATGGGTTCGCCTGCTTCGTAAACGAGCATATTAATCGCCTTGAGTTATGCCACATTAGCCATTAAGCAATTTTTCTTACTTACATATTATTATTTTATTACATCGTGTTTCTATGCGATATTCACCGTCGTGATTGCTGAAATGCTCTAATCAGGCTCTTTACTCTCCTTTCCCTTCGAGCTGCAACTTTTCGCCAGATACCATTCTCATAGACTCATTCAGGTGATTTTCCAGGCGCGTCACAATAAAACAAAACGCAGCTAATAACCTCAGAAACGTTGCGTTAATTGGGTCTTACAAGCCCGGTCGCCCAATAAGTACTATTCTCTGAACCAGAGGCATCTACCTTAATAGCGTAATACAACTTATGTCGAAAAACGGATTCGAGGTCGATAGAGAATTTGCTTATATGTAACCTCATTTGGTATGGAACGTTTCGGAGAGCTCCTTTCCCATTTATCCCTATTAGGCAACCCCACCTAACCACACATAGACCGAATTTGTCCATAGTGTAACCAGATGAACTCTTCTAAAAAGTTTAGCAGCGGCATAAAGTAATCTGTTGGTCCTCACACCGATGCCGAATTTACACTGGTCAGACGTTGGCGGTTTACTTTAGTCTTTCGCACAAGGCGCTTGAGAAGAGCACACAATCTCAAACCAGCGCAAATAAGTTCTTCCGGTGCATATTTTCCAGCATCCAGTTCTCGACTGGCGTTCGTATTCATTGTTGTTCTTGCAGCGTCGATCAGCTAATTTTTCAATCGTTGCCGATAAGTTCAAATAACGGTAGACCCTCCAGCTCCTCTTTCCAGCTGTAATATCCAAACCGTAATTGGACCGGAGTTACGCGGGTCTTTCGAGTCAGCTGACGCTCTTTTTATGCAATGTTTGAAAGTTAAACTACGGTGACAGCACTCAAAGGTGCGAAAGTTGGTGAAGGTGGTGATAGTCTCTCTGTGAATATTGGCAATTGACTGTCGATATAGCGTCCTATTCAGTGGGTGCAACATGTAGTCCTGGATCTGGTCCTTCAGTTCATAAAATTGTCTTTTGACGTGCCTAGATGGAGGACTCGTCTTGTCTTGGTTACACCGCATCAGTTCAGATGGCCTCCATATTTTTTCTCACAGGAATTCTTTTTGGACTTAAAACCCTCTGTAAGTTATCTAGCTTTTTGATAGAAAATTCCAACATCTCAAGAAGTTTGTAACTTACATATGTATCTCGAGCTGTACTCTTTTAAATAATACCCTTCTAAACAGCCTAAAGCTTTTCCCGCCGTGCGCGGTATCCTTTGCACCACAGCCTTGAGCCAATCCCAGTTAGCTTAGGATAGGCATTTCACCACAATGGTTTCATTTTCCGCTTTTGATTTTCCGAGGGCATACCAAGGGCCTCGACCGACCCTGGCTTCACTTCTACCGTTAGTATTAGGCTAGGGCTTCGCGGCGCCAGAGGTCTGCATGGCTGATACCGACTTCTTCTGTCGCTGTCTTCGATTGTTCGCCGCAACATCAGAATTGGGCAATGCCTCACCAGTAACCGCCACACTATAACCGGAAGAGTCATTGGGGCAAGGATTGGTGAGTGTCGCCGCAGTTTACTTTCTCTTGCACCAGATTTGGATGCCGGTGTATCTACCAAAGTCCCACTGGCTTCTGGAGTAACCTCCGTATACCTGGGCCGCTTACTGGGCGCAGCGAGAGGGTAAGGTCGGCCATTCCGGCCGATTCTTCCTCCTTCACCTACTCTTCTGGGTTTGTGAAAGAGGACCAACTCCGTCCCACATCCCCTCTAAGAGATAAGAGGAGAGGATTGGCGTTACCTCCCTTCTCTCCTGTAGGATGCGCTCCTGATCTATGACGCTTAGACTTTGGCAATGGTTGGGGCCTCCAGAATCCGTACCCTGGCGCGTGGATTTCCAATCGTTTTGGTGCCACTTGGACTATTATTCAAAAGTTGTGCCATTACCGTTATTTACAGTTTGCCAGAGTTGGTGGGTATTTCAGGGGATATTTTTCCTGTCATCCTCTTACTTCCCGAGACGCACGCATGGCTTTCGAGACACGCACCCAAATGGATTTTAGTCGCCTTTTACGACATGCATGCCTTACTTCGGGTATGATCTCGTGCCTAGCCCGCAGGCCAATTCCTTATCTCACTCGCCTAAACAATTATCTGCTTAGCAGTAGTTTTTTCCAGTATTTACTATTTGCTCAAAATAAAGGACAGTGCATTCCAACATTGCGCAATGAAAATCAGGGTTTCCTAAAAATATACAAAATCAAATACTAAAATATGCAATTTAGTATCAGTGAATCCTGACAGTGTGAGAGGGGAAATAAAAGACTAAGCAAATGTCATAGATTAAACTTGAGCTTATCAATTTGCATAACTAATACCACAGCAGATTACTTTTGTAGTAGAAAAAGTTAAATTGAAATTCAAATCTCTAACTTGCCTTAAAATTGGCGGCACCTGAATAACAGCTTATAGATACATAGTACATAAGCATAAATGCACATAGATATCTGCCACGCAAGGCGGATATCTTCGAACGGAAAAAGGAAACTCACATTACAGCAAAAACTACGCAGATATCTAAATGTAGGCATCCGCCAAGGCAAGCTGTCACCTTCCTGAAGTGTTGGCTGGATACAAGGCTTCTTGACTGCAGACTGTAGAGACTGTAATAACCGTTAACACAAGTGTGTATGTGTTTAACATTTATATATTTATATATATAATTATATAACACACACATACATAGGTAGATCGAATATTAATTTAAATATACATATGTATACACAAGTCTTCCCTCTCATTACCACCCACTTCTCTGCATTACAGGAAGATACTGCCTCTTTTTGTCGTCGAAATACATATATTTAGCAGCGAAGTCGCGTTCACCAGCCCCAAACAGTTAGGCTGCCGAGTTAAAAAGGTTGCTTCTTTTGCAATTGGCAATGACAATGTTGTTACGATTCATACAATTTCCATTTCATTGTAAGCACTAAAACGTGACAATTTTACAAGCGTGACAAACATGTAAAAGTTAGCAACACACGCAAAAATAAATATGTATGTAGATGAATACCAACATACTCGTAGTATACATACGGCTGCAGGCGCATATTGAATGTGTTGAAATTTTTATGTATTTATTTAAAGGGTGTTGCTTCAAGGATGCATGGGTATTTTAAATTGAAAAAGGACTATCTAAATGTGTGCTTAAGTGGAGACAGCTATGAAGCGAAATGCGATACTTTATTGTGCAAACTACACGACTCCGCTTACGGCAACCGTTGGGAGCTATTTCCAATGAAAATAAATTTTAAATTTTCCTAAAAACCCAGGTCATCTTCTTAAACATTCTGTTCTTGCTCTTATATATGCAGGTATGTAGCTACCACATCTTGCGAATAAGAGTCAAATTTGACTGGAAATACCAATTCCATGACCATACCAGCTCCAGCACCACTTATCTGGGCTCAAAACTATCCAGGTGACCCCAAAGATTAAACAAAAGTCATAAGAGACGTTTAAGTAGGAAAACATTGCGAACGTACGCCATTACGGTATTTCAGAAATCCTCTCAAATTACTTTCCTCTTAAAAGAATAATACTTTGCTCTTGTTGTTCGAAATCTGCCAAGGATTTGATCAGTTATGTACATTTCCACCATTTTTGCTATTTCGTTCGCATAGCATGTTCGCAATTCCTAACCAGCTCATGAAATATCAAACTGAAAGGGCTTACTGCTTGCTCCGTCATAAAGTGTAACTACAATGGAATGATTTCTGTCACTGATGCTGCCGCTGTAATGGCTTCGTGAGCACTTCGATTTAAGTTAACATTTTGTCTACTGAAGGAACGTTATTGAACACTATAATTTTTGGAATTCTCGACTGGCTTTTTTTACTAGTCATTGTTTTTGTTTTATGCGAATGATTCTTTTATGTTTGACATTTTAATTGCAGTCCAAAAGAGTGCTACCGAAATCACTTCTACCTCGTTTATTTCCTATTTAGACTCCCGCAAACCATCAAAAAGTAGTTCTCCTTCCGTCTACCTTCTAATATTTAGCTTTACTAAAAATTAAATTTTTTCCACTTTTTGCAGACCCTGCTTTGATATTTTGACCGGTTTTGAACTTGAATTCTTCAGTCGTTTGCAACATTCCGTTGAATTTATTCACTACTCTATTCGTTTGTATCCAAACTTCTTAAGAACAAAGGTACATATCTCCTCTTAAAGAGCAACACTACTCTAGAATTTTGAAAAAATTGAGTTTTTTGGTCTTACTTTCGTAGTGGTTTATACAATTTAAACCTTTTTGAAACCGTTAGTGGTGTTACCTTTTAATGAAGACTTTTCTAATAAGGGGGATAGATGTTGAAATGAAATGGAAAAAGACAAAAGTTGCGTAAGGTATCAACGAAAATCTTTTTTTTTT